TTTAAAATTCAGTGACCATTTGCCAAACGGTTACTGAACTTCAACAGTGATCGAAATGGTCACTAAATTTTTGTTAGTGACAGTTTTGGTCACTGATTCAAATTGGCAAGCCACGAGGCAATTTTACTAGCCCATGAGCTGCTCGCTTGGACGCAAGCCAAGCGGGCTCGTCAAAAGCGACTCATGAGCCATATTTTGAAGAGCCAACGAGTAGCTCGGCCCGTTTGCCATCTCTACTTTAAATTCAATATTTTCATGCACTATCCATAGTTTATGTATGTAGTGTGATGAGTGTTTTTGCACACTTGTTAGATATTTTAACAAACTAATTATAGATTAAATTTAACAAATTTCTATTCATAATTGTGTGATTATGATTTTTGTAGGTCAAGACCCCAAAAGAAAAGAGAGCAAGGCAAAAGGAAGTGAAAAGAGATCAAAACCGTACAAAGTTGTAAACTTTGGGGGACCAAAATGCAAAAGTACGTAAAGTTGAAGGACCTTGGATGCAATTTATGGAGGTTTAATTGAAAGTTTGAGGACCAAATTATACAAGATTAAAGTTGAGGGACTTTGAGTACAAATTACTAGAGAATTTGTGTGAAAAAATTTTTTTAAACCAAATGTTGATTTTTGGTATAGAGTTGGCACCTAGACACAACCTTTAAAAAAAAGCCTCGAGGACCATTTTGCTCACTCTTCAAACCTAGGGACTTAACTGCAAATTTCCTAGGGTTTTATAATGATAAAGAGATGGGCAGTCACTGTTGTGTCCTCTCTCTTATCATTTTTTTTCTGTTCTCTTCCCATTTTTTCTTTTTTTTTTTTTTCTTTTTCTTCTCTTTTCATTTTTTTTCTTTTTCTTTTGATTTAGTTATAATTGTAACGACCCAAATTTTGTATAAAACTAAATATGAATCATTGCCAAAATTTATTGGATAAAACTGTAACAATAAGTATTTTAATGTGTTCAACAGCCAACTAAACAATTAATTATTTATTTTAAATAAATGGAATTGAGAAGCGGAAGATCACACAACTACATCATACAAATAAATTTTCAATCTTCCAATTAAAGTGCAATCTATACATATCCATATACAAATAAACGTACGAGAATTAAATTTTGAACAATGTATGTTGCAATTAAACTAAAAATGAACAAAGTTACGTACTAAATTTTAGATTTTCGTCTAACGAAACGAGGCACAACCACAACATCGAACCACCACGCTCCGACACGACCCGTACTAACCTGTGAGAAATAGGGAAAAATAGTTAATACATGGGAATACTCAGTAGGACATAAAAATAATGGTGCAATCCCGAGTAAAAGATTTAAAACATGTGTCAAAATATCATACCGTCATCATATCTTTAGAAACCGGTAAGAGCTTAATAAACATCATATCTTTGGTACCAGACGTATTAAACATAATAATTCAACAACATGAAAATAAACAATTTAAACGGGACAAAACAACTGCACATCGTTATCCTACCTTGTCAAACTAAATAAGTTCTTGAAATATGAAAAACCCCAAAATCACGTTCCAAACTAATTTCCTGCCTCTACTTGTGTGTCGTGCATAAATGTAAATTTTGTTTGTGTACCCACCATCTAGTTATATGTACATAGACAATATTAACCTGAACCCTAAAGAGTTGGTGCATAGTAGGAAACGTGTGAGAGTGGGATAGGGTAATAGGATAAGAGTATTTGAAACAAAATTTTGACCAAGTCTTATCAATTTAGGATTCCCGCACGTGTCAAACTAACCACAATTCAAAAAAAAAAAAAAAAAATCCAAACAAACAAACACATCAATCACGTGGCTTCCCATTAAAAATTCTCATTTCATTAAATAACTTAACTAAATTACAATTTAAGGAAATATCTCTTGATCTTGATAACTTGGGTCTCGCTTATCCGAATTAACTTTTTCTCGAGCCTAATATGCATAATTAATTACAATCTATCCAACGAGCCCAATATCCATATACTTATCATCGCTCCATCAATATCCAAATATTTGACTCTTATAAAAATGAAATTTTATATATATCACTTTAGTCCTTAACTTTCCAAAATACTAAAATATAGTAGAGCAAGTCATTTCATCTTCAAAAATCCAACAAAAAAAGGTTTTATTTATAATCTTGTATTTTCTCCATTATTTTGCCAAACTTGCAATGTATTGTATGAAAGATTCTTCTTTTTATCATTTTACATAACATGGGCTAAGTTTTATGGTTGCGATTTATGGTTGAAACTTAACATAACTTGGATTAATTTCAATATTTGTTTTTTAATGTTTAAATACTTATTTCCATGTATTTTTACTATTGTCATTATTGCATTTTCATTTATATAGGCAATGAATGATTAGGTTTAATGATTTGTACATGTTCGAGAGAATATCATGCATTTTAAACCAAATAGTAGAAACCTTATATTTGTGTAAGAGATAAAGATATACGCCTAACCATGTGTGATCCATTTAGCTTTCACAAAGATTTAATGCGATTGTTTGGTTTTAATCGACAAAAGATATAGGTTAAACTAATTAATTATGGTTAATTTCGATTGAGAGAGGTAATTAACTAAAATTGAAAAATCAGGTCTAACATATCGTAAATGGGTAGTTTATTAATTGGTTTGTGGAGAATTATCAAGTGTGTATGTTTTCTTATTTTGTAGAATTTTAGTTATTTTCCTTATTTTTCAAAATCAATTTCTTATTGTATGTTTGTTTTCTTTATTAGAATTAAATTGATTAAAGTTATGTAATCAAAAGTAAATATTTCTCGAGAGATCAACAATTCAGACTCAAAAAGTCCACTTTATTACTTGAACGCAACTCTTGCACTTGCGATTTGCACTTTCATAGCGAACACGGTGTATTAACAACTATGAAACCATTATGGTCATTATCGATGGTAAATGATAGAACACTAGCATATTTACTTAAAAACACTTATTATCCAAGTCTTCTTTTTATTGCTATTAAATCCAAATGAAGATTGATTCTATAATAAGATTTGTGCCTTAGGAGATATTTCTGTATGAAGTTGGTCAAATGAATACTTTTCACTTCGCTAAGTGAAAGCTAACCATTAGTTATGAACATCGTCATACCGTCGCTCATTGCATCTTTTGAATAGACTCAATTAAGACCATAATAAAATTTGCATCACCAAGAGAACCAAATATAGATGACCTTGATTATTTTCCAAACATCCGTGGTTTACTATACATTTTTTTGTAGGGTCTATTTAGATAGGTCGTGTCAATACATTTTGCCAAGCTAGCATCTTTGCAATTTTTACATTGTGCTTTTGACTTTCCATCTACTACTACACCCTTGGCCACTAATTTGAAGTATTCCCGATGATCATCACCCAAATCATCATAACATCCATTAGACCACTAAAATCGCGATATAGTGGCCGAGTAATTTTTGTATGCTGGAAGCATCAAAGATTTGGTTGAAGTCGCCAAGTTTTAACAATCTATCGTAATATATTTGAAATAATATATGAAAAAAAAAAAAAAAAGAAGCATCAAAGATTTGGTTGAAGTCGTCATGTTTTAACAATCTATCGTAATATATTTGAAATAATATATGAAAAAAAAAAAAAAGAAGAAGAAGGTAAAATTATACAATTTATATTAAAATTAGACCGAGTAACTCAAATAAGGAAATTTAGAGACAATAAAAACTCAAAATTGCACAATAAAAGAGTTAATATGAATATTGTAACAACTGTAAATTGAGAATGTAAAGTTGTGTGGAAAAAAAAAGTGAAGTGGTATAGGGGGCCTTATATAGAAAAACAAAATGTACCATTGTTAAAATATATAGAGAGAATGAGATTGGCTGACCATTTGGTGGCCAAACGGTTGCACATGAGCTGGCACGAATCGGTCACACACAAGCTGGCTTGTGGACTAGGCTAGTGGACTCGGCCAGCTCGACTTATGACTTGTCCTAATACAAGCAGGAGCAACCCGCAGGCTAAGCCCGTTTACCACCCCTAATTCCAACTCTTCCCAAAATAATACTGCTATGGAAATAAAGAGTCCGAAATCACTAGAACAAAAATTTATTAGATGCTAAATTATGAGCTACTCTTGACTGGATTCTTCTCGCTCGAGGACTTGGGACTTTCTAACTTGTAAATAGAGGCAGATTCCTCTTTAGCTGCTCAATACATCAATCATGGAACTAGGCCATGGTCTATCCAAGGTACTCGGACGTATTAAACATAATATTTCATGTGATCGCGACATGATTTTTCACATATATCTTGAAGGAAATCAGGTAGGTGACTCACTTCCTACTTCTGGTTGGAAACAACACCATTACCAAGAGTACAAGCCCTTAGACCTTCCTTGATACAGATTGACATATATGGCCATCATAGTGTTAGAGAGCTATAATTCACTTTCGCTTCTTTACCCTTGTAAAGGAAATAGTGCCTCCTCATTTACTGGTTTTTATACACTTGCTACTTTGTTGGATGTTAAGATCCCCCTCGCATGTATTCAAGCGATTGGAAATCCTCACCCCTCATTATCATCCTCTAGTGAAGCCTAAAAACACGTTTAAGGATGAGTTGATGTTTGTCCGTAAAATATTAAAAATGATATACAACCAAACCAGTTGCTATCAATTAAAAGAAAACTGGCCATTATTAGAGCAAGTAAAACACTGCAAAATCGGATGTTCAATTCTAGACGCTTGACAATAACCATATGGTGGAAAAAATAACCATAAGAATGTATGCACTTGACCTAATAAAACATCATCGTCCAGATCTCAAATCACAAGAAAGAGGACAAATTAAGTGCAGGAACTCAGTTGTTTTTTTTTTTTTTTTGGCATACAGACTCTGTAGTACAAACCCAGACTGAAGATACAAAGACCTCGCACTAATCGATCATTTCAGTTTCCATAAACAAGCAAGTTACAATTTACCCAAAACAAGAAAGAAAATCACATTATTGTGCAACGGCTACTTCCCTCGGATGATTGTGGGGCAGCTTGCTGATACCTGTTTGACTCGGATGGATTGTATGTGAATTCTGAAGTATCAAGCCCATACTGATACAGGGAGCAGAAGTAATTAGACATGAACTACAGAATTTATAAATAAAAGCCGCACTCAACAAATAGCATCATCAATGGAATTTATAGTTAATATCCTCAGTACAAAATATAGAATATTACCGCACCCCAAATATGCAAGGACAGTAAATTTTCAGATGACCTAGCCTCCGTGTAGATACAATTAATAAATTGATTTATAAATTCAGTCAAAGTCAAAGATTAATTTCAACCACAACCATAACTATTATAAATCATTTATAAATTTGCCAAACTGAGGTTTACTGTAGAAGCCAGTTAAAGATGACCCATCCCTGTTTCAGTTTTGCAGTTTCAAATTCAAATAGAAACCAAACTGCATCCGTATTTACTCAGCATAAGATCTTATCTCAAGATTCATTTTGTCTACATCTACATGCATATGTAGATATAGCTCCGGTTTGACAAAGCTTTTTAAAGATTTCATTATCAACTTTTTAATCACACATTTTAGGGGACCACCACCCTATAGAAAATCGAGCATTTAACCCCCTATACTTGTGTTAAGCTACTGATACCCACCCCTGCATTTTGCCCATTAATTCTATTTTCAGAACCCAAACAACTGCACTGTCGAGTCTATTCAGCCACAATAGTCATCAAGTGAACTATCCGCATAAATGTAAAGGTCAATGACCTTTTGATAAGCCACCAATTAAATACAAATATTCTAGAAGAAACAAGAATGGAGAAGGGGGAGGCAGTAACAAATTCTGTTAGAAGGGTAGGGTGAGGTAGGCAAAATCTGTTACAGGGAGACTGTAAATAGAATATGAGTGGGAGAAGCTAGATATGCCATTTTAGTGAGTAAAATCAGTGTGTGGAGAGTTATAGCCCTCTCAAACGGCTTCTTGTATTTCTTTTCATCCTTGTAATTCAGTTTCCAAATCAATACAGAATTTCATTTCTGCTCCTGTGCTGTTCTTGCCTTGATTACAGGTAGACTAGCAAACTTCTGAGGCAAAGTCAAGATCTGGTATCAGAGCCTCCATATCATCAACCACAACCATGACACTTAGAGATCGAGTTGGAGAATTGGAACAAAAGGTGGAGAACCATCACCATGAACTTCAGGCAGGTCTTGAATCACTACGATCGGAGTTCAAACTGATGCATACAGGAATGACGGAAAAGTTCGAAATGCTGATGCGAAATTGGGATCATCGGGAGAAAGAATGAAAAGAGAAGGGACTAGTTACTGAGAAATCACCAAAGGTGACTGCTGATTCTAGGTTAACCCAACTACGATGCAGCATCAGCCAATTCAGTGGGGGAGATTCAGGTGGTGACTGGCGAGGAGAGCGTCGCATAAGGCAACTAGAAATCCCGTCGTCGTGTTTTAACAGCGAGGCGCTGGCCTGGTTCAAATGGGAAGAAAAGCGCAGGCCTATGAAAACTTGGGAAGATGTAAAGGTACAATTACTACGGAGATTTTCGACTCTCACGGGAAGGATCCCTGTGCGCCCAGTTTTTATCTCTCCGGCAGAACTCTACGGTTAGGTAATACCGATGGCAGTTCGAGACACTAGCATCACCATAAACGAAGATCTGTGAAGAGGTTATGGAATGCAATTTTCTCAATGGACTCAAGCCAGAGATCAGGGCTGAGGTCCAATTACTTAGGCCATTGGGCATGGAACAGATTATGGTGGTAGCCCAAATGGTTGAGGACCAAAATTTAATTACCCACAAAGGTCTTGGGAATGCTGGCCCAATTAAACCCAAAAGCATTCCCTATCACAGCCCAAATCCACCCCAACCCACAATCAACCAAAATAGAAACACGATTCCCGTAAATCTTATCCCTCAACGCCCTAATTTCTTTCCCAAAAATCCCACAACATTCAAATGCCTAGAGATGCTGAGATTCAAGCCAAGAGGGAGAAGGGCTTGTGCTATAGGTGTGATGATAAGTTACAATTGGGCACAAATGCAGGAGGAATAAGGAGTTACAAGTCTTGGTGATTCGTGAATTCGAGGACAGCGAAGCGCAAACTGAAGCTGCGCATTCAGGCAAGCTGGTCTCCAGCGGGGGCGAGGTTGATAGCGAGCTGGATTCCATCAGAGATGACACCATGGGTCCAGGTCAGTCAGTTGAACTGTCAATTAATTCTGTAATGGGTCTCACAGGTCCGGGCACCATGAAATTGAAAGGAATGTTTGATCAGAAAGAGGTAGTGGTACTAGTGGATAGTGGGGCATCGTATAATTTTATTTCAGCTGAGATGGTTCAACAGCTGGGGTATCCATTGTCCGACACCCCATCCTCTAAGCAAATATTTTGCACTCCTACACCATATTTCAAAATTGTTGCCTCTCAGGTTTATAATGCTGAGGGTAAGGTAAGTTATGAGAAAATATGGAATTTTAGAATGGACAATTTATCATAGAGATCTGAAAATTTACATTATAAAAATAGCAATATCCTAATTTCCTCTGATTGGGACTGTATATTCTACAAATAAAGAACATTCACAGTTAAGTTTTTAGTTCCCACGAGAGCTATACAAAAACATATTGTTGAAAACACAATTCAAATGATATACATCTCTTTTAGAACAAGTAGTTCAACATGGTATCAAGGCATGCAAAAGTCCTAGGTTCAATTTGTGCCACCGCCAATTTAAGAAACTGTGCATGTCTAGGGACGAAGCTAGGATTTTTAGCTTGTGGGGGGCATTACGGCGGTTGACGGTGCTACAATGCCAATGACGCTATGACCTACCCGCTTAACACAATCAACGATGTAGCAACATCAAAGAGTGGTATTTGAAGAAAATAACAAATCTAATTATTTTATTCAAAAGCATTTTTAAGAAAACATGAACCTAATCAATTTCGGATTAGCTGTATATGAAATATGCAAATGGAACTAATTATTGGGGATTAAAAAATTCTTTTTAAAGGTTGTGGATGAATTTGCTAAAGGTAATAAAGGTACAACTTTCTAAAAAGAAAAAATAAAGAGAAATAAAATGTGACACGTGGTATTCAAATCCAAATCTACCCAACTAAAAATTGATAGTTATACCCCAAGGCTACAAGACAATATTTATATTATATTCAAGTTTATATATTTCATGTTAGAGCAAATTATAAAATTTAATTTTTTCTTTATACAAACTAGATTTTTAAAATCATAATCAGAGCATTTGACCCCCATGTCCCTATGTTAAATCAGCCCTCTGCACGTCACACTTTTATGTGATAGAGCATGTTGAAAACAAGATTTAAATGGTATATATATGGTACTCTCTAACAGCTAAAACTTTTAAAATAAGCGGTTCAACACGTGTTTGGGTTTCTTAATGAATATCTCTCTTTTTAATTCAACGTCCTTCTCCTTTATTTGGCAACCTTCTTTGGGTTTTGAATGTAATTCAAAAGGTTTTTGCAATTGATATGACCAATACCCCCCTCGAGTTTCGTTCATCATATTCACTTATTCCATAATTTTAGAAATATCAAGTCATTCAACAACTAGCAAGGAAGAAAAAGAAAGCAAAACATACATTTCAAAGCAAAGGAAGAGACATAAGCACAACATTATGTACCTTTTCCCTCATACGTGTGCTCCAAGCATCACTCCTACTTGGAAGATGATCGAGGGTACCAGTAACAGGCACACCTGTGGCGGTAACTGCAGGCCTGTTGTTGATCAAAGGCTGCCGGATCTGTTGCCCGGGCCGACTTATATACTCATCATCACTATCATAATCTGCTGGTCTGTTGGCAGTCCTCACAATAAGTGCTAACAAAAATACAAGAGCCTGCAATTTCATGGGCAGTAGGTGTAACTGGAAAAAAATAATGGGAGAAATTCACTGCAGTTTGAGGCAAGCCATTCAAGCCTAGTAAATATAAATCAGGGCCAGTTCAGATGAATAAAGTTCCTAAAGCTACGTCTAAAGTCCAACCAGTAGCTGAAAAACTCAAATTCAGCACCATTTGACAGCAAGTTCGAAGATGCAAGCACCAGAATTTATAGGAATCTACACATACATATTGCTTCGGATCTGTGAAGCTTAAGTTTCAAAACATCATGCACAAGGATTGAGGCTTCACCTTCACCCCAACCTACCCTCACACACATTCCCTCTCTCTTCATAACTGAGGGTCATTCTTTGGAGGATTTCTATAAATTCCAAAGTTGCATATACATAGAACAGAAACCTTCGTATAACATACTCCCTACTTGAGCCAACTAGTAACATTATTTTGAGTCCATGCACTTACAATATCTCCATATTGAAAATAATCCCCACATAGATTTCACTGCATCATTTGAGATATCTTCCTATGCTTAAAAGACTATGTTGCATTAAAAAATATTTTTATTCTGTAATCAACGTCAATGCTGTTAAAAATTTGAATGGGTTTCCTATACAAACCACATAAATGAGACGGTTACCTACATTGGTAGTAGGAAGGCTAAAATCAAATAACTACCATCACTGATAGGGGTCGTAGATATTGAACCACTTTAAACCTCCAGTCAGCCAAACTTAACCTGATAATATTTATCTAACTAGTGTTTTGTTGGATGATAGGGAATTTATTGTGCAAGTTTATGCAAAGTAAAACTTGCACTTTGTCCTTTGCTTTTGTGGGATATCCCTTTGTTGTTTTTATACCACAACTGAATATTTGGAAAGAAACCACACCAACACTTTGATCACTTTCTCTTCGAGTTTATGAAACCTTATTTTTTTGCTTGCATACAAATTTGTATATTTGTTAACTAGTTTTCTGTTGCATGCTTGTTAGTATTTGTGTTTAAATTGAGTTTTAATTTCTGGGACCAAAACTTTAGCCATGACTGGTAGGCATTGCTAGGGAGTTTGAGGTGGAAATCCAATGGATTTAAAGTCAAATTCGAATGTTCATACCAATTTTATCTTTTATTGTGAATTATTATGATCACTAGAAGACAATCTTTTGGAATAGAGAGCAGTGCTAATTATATGGAGATAATCACCACACATCAACGATCAGAGATTCTGATGCATGTTCAAGGCAGAAAAATGTGTTAAAATATTCGTATAAAACTAGTTCATATTTTCAACTTTTATCAAAAACAGAACTTAGAATCACAACTTTTAGTTCAAGAAATATCTGAGAGCTTCCTATTAATAACTCAGCAACTCAGCAAGGACGGGAAATGTGCAACATACTTACATATGATTTATTAAAAGATGCTAAAGTCTAAAACCAAGTACTTCACAGAAATGATCAACCATTGACAACTACATACTAAAACAAAATACCATCAAAGACCTTACCTGGAATACAACAATGCCAAGAGCAACCCACTTGATAATTTTCCAGTGCTTCTCCAGAAACTCATACATCATATCAAAATTTCCGGTTTTGTCAGTTGGAATTTCCTGAGTAGTATATTTAAATGTAATCAGATTGACTAAAAATTTCCAAACTGAAGATATGAAAATAGCAGATATAGTAAGACTCACCTCTCTCCAGCTTTTGTCAAAGAATATAAAAGCAGCTAATCCCAGTTCGATCAAGATCAACAAGATTAGCAATACTGCGTACTTTATTACCTTAAGGAACCCAATCACAATCATAAAGAAGAAGGAGAAGGAGGAGGAGGAGGAGGCGGAGTCAAAAATGGTCCAGTATTTTCAAATTGTTATCCAAATTTTTCAATAAGCCTTCAAGACGGAGCTATTTTTAATTCACTTAACTTAAAAATTCAAACAAAGAATTTTGAAGTTGATGATCGTTCAAAAGCCTTTACTTTAATATACAGAGTATATTATAAGATTCTCAATACTCAACTCAATATTCGAGCTCTTAGATATTCTCCTAAAGAAGATAGTATTTTGGTTGAAGTGAATAAGATATTCTTAATTCACTTAACTTAAAAATGCAAACAAAGAATTTTGAAGTTCATGATCGTTCAAAAGCCTTAGCTTTAATATACATAGTATATTATAAGCTTCACAATACTCAACTCAATATTCGTGCTCTTAGATCTTCTCCTAAAGAAGAAAGTATTTTGGTTGAAGTGAATCCACTTCATTCAATTGTGATGATTCGGAGGAGGAGGAGCAGCAACAGCAGAAGAAGAAGAAGAAGAAGAAGAAGACAGATGCATCTATACACCACAATCCACATTTTACACAATCTTGAAGGATTTACATACCACAGAAAAATGATTGGTACCCACAGATGATATGAAGTAAATATTTTAAAGTAAGATGGTGAATAACTTGTTTTATTAATCACGGAGAATGCTGAATATATACAAGTACAGGAAGAGAAATCACAGGCTGATTCACATTCCTCGATTCTAGCCACTAATTTAGGAAACTAGTATATCTAACATATCTAACCAAATCAGAGAAAATAGGAAACTAATACAGCTAAATATAATTACATAAATATATGACACATGAAAATCAACTCCAGATCAATCGGATCTTCCCTACAGAATTAACTCCTTTAATTCTACAAATATCCTCATTAATTGTTAAGAAAACCATATTTTGTCAAAAAGATGTGATCATAAGCAAAGAGGGAAATGGAATCTCCCAAAATTGTCTTGGATATCAGTGAGCTAACTGGGAAAGCCTGTCGTAGGCCTAAAAGGCAAACGTGTTTGTAAAAAAAGGTGCTAACAATTGGATGTTTTTATGTTTGACCATCACATCTTTTATCCAACTAAACAAAAGCTTAAGAATGACGGCAAAGAACCACATCAATTAGGTGCTATCATCATTAGCCCAGTAAGATATTAGCATAAGTATACAATCAAAGGGATATTAGAGATTTGTACAAAATCATGTGAAATTTGCTTATACATCATCAGAAATAAAGGATACGCAAGTCAGGCAGCATCCATTTCGTGCAGCTGTTCCAATGCACCCACAACAGGAAATGACAAAAAGTATTACACCAATGCCGATAAAAGAATATATGAACCTGCATGTAGAAAATGTGATAAGTAAACATTCAGCATTCCTTGATTAAAAGATTATCTCAAGAGACGTACCTTTCTGATAAATAAGTAAAGATGGATACAGCTCCTAGACAATAGATAAAATGAAATAGCCATGAAATCAGACAAAAATGGCTCAATTTATTTATCACCTAGTGCATCACCGGACATCATAATGTATCTCTCATCATCATTTGTGTAGGAAACCAGTCTTGCTCAAAATACCATATTTTCAGAACGGGTGGCTCGCAGAATTTACACATCATCAACATTTTCACACGTTCCTCCTATTCTTCCAGGAAAGACCCCATACCAACCCCCGCCCAAAAAGAAAGAAGAAAATCAAAAATGTGCAAAGACTCCACTGACCAGAGACTGAGTACTTGTAGAAAATGGATAAAGTTACAGGTTTGTTGCCAGCATTATAGGTATATAATAGAATGAAGTTCCTCTTGGGTATTAGTAATAGTACCAAGATACATCCACCCCTTTTATGATAGTGAGTGATTGGTTAATTGCTGCTTTACTGAGTGATTCTGCCACGCAATTGTAGATTTTTTTAATTAATAAATAAACAATGTTAATTAAAAAATTGTGTCGTGGGGATGCTACTTAATATAAGATCTTGACTTGCAACCAAAAATCCCAAATGTTAACATAGTTCCACTAAATTTCCCATGAAATATTTCAATATTTTGTCAGATTCAAAAGAACAAATAAAACTAGGCATATACTGTCTCTGTCTTCCACAGGGATTGAAATCCACATTAGAACAAGTGGAAAAATCCATCGTATGTGATCTTACGAGAGAATTCCTATTACAGTTGATTGTCACAATTTGATCATGCCAAACAAATAATTCGATGGAGCAGTATTTTTCATAGGAGCTGTATTTTGATTGTTGCAATTACATGCATTTTTGAAGTAAAAAACTCTCCAAAACCACATTTTCTCCAGAAAAATATCCTTAACCCATTCACCAACTCATTGATTATACAATCCACATTAGACCCCATCATGAAAACCATGATAGGAGGCTTTATGAGAGATTCCCCGAAGCTGTCCAGCAGTTAACCTTTTCTAGCTTTTGATATCCCACAGCCGGAGCTCTCAAAAAGCAAGTGTTTTAAGCCAATCTCATTAATGCACCTCATACAAAAACCTTGATATGCTGGCCACTTTTTAAATTGAATAATTGCCCTCTGTTATTTAGGTTTTTATTATTACAACAAAAGGATGCTTCAACGGGTTTCAACCTACCATCCTAATAATTATCCTGGATAAAAGTATACCTTTCTGAAACACCATAAACAATGCCTCATTTTGCAATTAGGATGCAGGATGAGGAGATAGGGGGAAGTGATTAAGTTTAGAACATATAGAGTGTATTTGGTAGAGATTAAAATTGGATTAAAATTGAAAAACTAGCCATTATTGTTAACTTTTATTAGACGAGTGGAACTCAATAACGACTATATTTTCAATTTTAATTGGATTTTAACCCAAACTGAACATGCCCATAAAGAGATCAAAACAATTGTGGGTCAAAAGGATGGGAGGGGAAAACTTCCCAGTCCCCCCCTCAACTAAAAATCCATGAATCAAATCTTGGTCCAATGCCAATTGAAAGGGAATAAAGGGTCAACAACTAGTCTCTCAATGAGGAGGTAGAGGAAAGATTCAAAATTGCTAAAGAACTGTAACGGAGAACACAAACTACTTGGATGACAACTTCGACTAAAAAAGTGTCAGGTCCCAATAGTGAATGCCAACACCATAGTTGATAAATGAGCAAAGGACATCAAGACACTAGAGGATCTTTGGGCTTAAGCACAAATGGAGGCGAAGTTCATCAAAGCCACACATATATTATATATGTAAAATTTAGAAATGCATAATATAGTTGATAAAATTCAGGAATTATAATAGTTTTTAAAAAATATCAGTCAATATCAGAATAAAACGAGTAAAATCAGTGTCAAATAATCTTGGATTAAGATTATATATGCATTTTATAAGCCCTTGTTTGATCCCCGTTATTTTCAAAATACATTTTTCTCTATTTTCTTTTTAACCAAGCATTTTTCAATAAAATAATATTACACAAAAATCCAAAACTTTTCCCTTTTTTTTTTTTTTTTTTTATAATCGTGAATGTCCGGGCCAGCTTGCGTGCACCTCGACTAATCCCACGGGACCCTGAAATTTACGGTCGGGTACTCACATCAGTGGCCCTGAAGGGATTAAAGATAATATAGTACGCACATGAACCGGATTCAACTTAAGTCTCCCATATGATGGAGGTCTTGAGTTAGAATTCTGGGGGACACGTCAGAAATTCGTGAGGGGTAAGATGGGCCTTAGACTCTCCCAAAGCGGACAATACATAAGATAACATTCTCTATCATTCTACTATTCCAAAATGCATTCTTACAATAAAATGGAGATCAAATAGGCCGTAAATTTCAACACCCAAATATCAACGCCAAGCAACAATCTAAAAGCAAAATGTTACTTCATGAGTAGAAAGGATTCGAGACACACCAAAATTAGTAAAATGTGCTTATTTGTGCTTTGTGTGTTTTCAACACCTAGATTTTTTCTACACTTTTTTAAAGCTTGGCATTTAAACATCAAAGAAGAGCCTGAGGCGCACACCTAGGTTTGCCCTTAACAATTATGTCAAGTGTCAACAATTGAAGAAATCTATTCTTGATCAAGCAAATTAGATGAGATGCGAGAAATCAATAAGCATGAAGCAAATTATTTAAAAAGAAAGAAAAAAATTGTCAACAGCAAGTGATAGATAAGGAAATACATGAAATGAAGGCGAATAAATCATTAAAAATAAGACCTCTCATACAGTTTTATAGAGACGACAATTCAAAAATATAAAGCAGTCAATACGAGTATATAATGTAGCAATTTGTCTAACTATATAGTATAAATGACAGATCGCCCACAAAGGGACACCAAATTCCATGCTGGCCCCCATCCTGGTCAACTGATCCAAAGCCCAACCAAACCCCTACACAATTCTGGATGGTATATACGAAAGATTAAGCTTAAGCCATCTCATTTAATTAATTTCACTTTCTCGAAATTGACACTTTTCAATCCTTGTATGCTTGCTACAACACGCCTGAACCTCATCGTATTTTACGGCTATTTGATGTATTTATATCATATGTATTAAAGAGCTCTCACTGTCAGTGATTGTTCTTTTGTTTGTTTTAGCAGATTTTTCATGAAACCAAATTTTGGATGCCCCATTTGTCCAACTCACAAAAAACTGATAGCACCAAATTCCAATTCACAAGTGTTGCTCTCACGTTCCATGATGGTAAATTTTTCCATCCTTAAAAGAAGTGAAATCAACTCAACTGAGGCTTACGAAGTTAACCTATGAAGGGCCAAATATTCCAGTTAAATCATTTCATACCATCTATGCCCATATTCATCTAGATTCACCAGTAATAATAGTTCCATCAATTTTCATAACTAGTGCATCTCACACCTTTCTTGATTAGACATAAACCATCTGAAACAATTCTCCCAGAATTGATCTCTGACAGATACTACCTTCAACAACTTACAAGCATACTCATTTCTTACTATTTCTTCTTTGGTTACCACATATCTACATTAACATTTTCATCTCAGGCTCTCAGCTAAATTTATTAGATGATATTTAGTTATAGCTGGACAGAATTCCATCACCAAATATGTGAAGTCCAATAACAACTTCCTTTAATCTAAGAGAAATAGGACTGTACACACCCCCAAAGGCGGCCCTCCACTTATCCCACCTGGCTTTGATCCTTTAAGTCATTCTTCATCACCAATATCTCTAATATCCCCGTGCTTATTACTAATTCATTCTAGTTATTCCATGGCTTCCAAGAACAGAAAATTAATTTTCACACTTGGCTGCATGTCATTTCAGTATTCTAACTTTCTAAAACAGCACATATATAATTCACAGTACTTGGATTTTCTTCCACTCAAGAATGAAGGTAATAGTGAAATGTATTACATGGCAAGTACATTCAAGCAATAAGTTTACATGGTTTACATGGAAAACCAACTAAAGGATGCAAACTAATTTAAAATTGAGAACACTTTAAAATTATAGAAAGCAGAATTAAATGGATGAATATACCAAGCTTTGGGGAGTTTATCAAAAATGCTATCAGCTAAAGACACAGCCATGAGCATCGGGCGGCCAAGCTGCACTAACTCACCACCTGGAGGTGCAATGGGGACATTGTCACCAGAAGATGCTGCATTTTTGTACTCCACGAAGAGGTAAATTCCATAACCAACCATTGCCAGACCGACAAGTGTTAACAAGAAGTTCAGGAGCTTCAATAAGCACTGCCAAAACCCCCTACACGCCATTCTCTACTATTCAAATTATATGTTCCCCTTATATAACACCGTTCTGTGAAATCTCTCTTCTGACACAAGAAATGAGCTCCTCCACTTCCTACAACACAAACCCACCAGTTAATCCATCACAAATAAATGGATTTCACTGAAATAAAATAATCAAAATTTGAAAATAGAAGCATCTGAAGGAAGGGCCAAAAAAAAAAAGACTTATCATAAAGCTATCAAGATTTGAAGATGATTTTTTTCAGGAATCCCTTTCTGTCAACAAACCAAAAATAAAAAGTAACAATACCAAAAATTCAAGACTAAAATAACAACAAATATACAAAATTCAATAGCTCGATCTGCGAATTACGAAGCAATGCATAAGATATTTAATAGTAAGAAGGAAGGAAAAATCCAACCCAAGTTTTATCAAATAAATACTCAAATTGAAAGAAACCCTGTCGAAAGAACGAAAAACCATAACAGAACAGAATTCAACAATAATGAACGCAGTTTAAACAAAAACAGAGGAGTCAAGAAAGAGCTCACACCCCACGGGAGCTATAATTGTGAGTAATTGTGGATCGAGAAAGAGATGGTCGATCTGTGGTATTCGAGAAGTGGAATGAAAAAAAATTGAAATGCCTTTTGCTTTGTCGCCGGATGGCTGTTTTCTGTTGATACGGGCACTCCCGTTTCTGCGTATGTAAATGCTTTTTTTTGCCCTTTTCAATTTATTTTCTATTTAATTTTTCATTTTACATGGGATTAAGCCTCTGTTTGACACCCATTTTTTATCTCATTCTCATTCTCATTCTCATTTTTCTACAGTACTCATTTCTAACCAATTCTCATTCTCATTTTTCAACAGTACTCATTTCTAACCACACATTCTTCAAATAAAATAATATTACACATAAATCCAAAAATTCTTCTTACTTTTTAACCACACATTATTTACATCAATCACTATTCAAAAACTCATTTTTCAAAATAATGGGTGTCAAACGGGCTGTAATTGTCTCCTCCGGACCTCCTCTAGTTTTTGTAATTTATGGGTATATTTGTCCTCAATTTTTAAAATTCATTTTTTCAAATTAATTTTTTAACCCTCATTTAATGGACAATTATTACATGTATATGCTCTTTGTCCAACATAACCTTAGGCCCTGAGCCACATTGGTTTTTGAGAAAATTTCATTTTTAAGATGTTAAGTATGTGTCATTTCAAAAATAAGAAAACAAGTTTCAAATTTCAAAAATTAAAATTTTTTTAATTTTTATTTATGAATTAATAAATTATTAAATAAATTTATTTAATATTTAATTCTAATATAATATAATTAATCCACCCCACCTACACCACCCCTACTACTTCGGGGACTATTCCGGCGATCGTTCCGACCACCCTCTTCTCCGGTGACTTTTCTGATGAGTATTCCGGTGACCATCACTGATTCACAATTTAGTTAGTCACATATTATTTTTCGGTCACAAATCATAATTGTTTATGTCACAAATTATTTTACGATCACAATTCAAAAATTTTATAGGTCACGGATCAAAAAATTTGTAGGTCACAAATCAAAAATTTTGTATGTCACAAATTTGTTCGATGTCACAAATCAAAAAAATTTATAGGTCACGGTTTATTTCATTGGTCACGTATTATCAAATTATTAGTCACAACTTATTTCTCGGTCACAAATCAAAAAATTTATAGACCTCAGATTAATTTTTCGATCACAACTTAATCAATTGTAAGTCGCAATTCGAATGTTAAGGTCACAAATTATCCAATTTTAAGAGTCACAAGGAACTGGTCACATGTCAACTAATAGGTCACATACCACCATCACCTCCAATATCTTCGCCGCCACTTGCAACCACCTTCACATGGTGGCTAACGACGTCACCACCACACCACCACCATCGATACAGCCACCAACAACCACCTCTACTGCCACTGCCACCGCCACCGGAAACCATCACCACCAAACATACCAACAACGAACAAACCACATCTTCAACTATAAAACCATCATCGCCGCCACTTGCACCCCGACACGACAACCACCTACAACAAAAAGACATCAAAGCACTACTGTCTCGCCACCCCACCACCACCACCACAAAAGCCATCACCGCACTGCTGTCGTCGCCACCCCACCATCTCCACCACCACCACAACCACCATTTCCAACTAACACCCATTCACTGTTAATAAAAAAAACCATACCAACACCTTACCCTCGCCGCCGCCACAACAAAATCCACCACCATCATCGCACTCAACACCGCACGCTGCTGTCGATCGCACCCAACACCGCACGCCGTTGTAGCGACACCGCTGTAGTGGAGGGAGAGAGAGAGAACGAAGGTAGTGGATTTGGCTGTCGATCGCCGCTATAGTGATCACCACACCCAACACCGCACCCATCGCCACACCGAAGACACATGTGAGAGTCGAGAGAGAGAGAGAGAGAGACGAGAGAAACGTGTAGGATTTTGGGAAAATGAGGTGGGGGTGGAGGGAGGTAGGGTTGATGTGGGAATTATATTTATTTTATAAAAATCTTAATTAAAATAAAATATCTGATTTTTGAAAGATTAAACTTCCCACCTGATTTTAGAATGTTGAATAATTGAAGTAGGGATTTGTGTAATTTCCTCTTGTTTTTTTATTCTCATTCTTCTACTCATTTTTTACCACACATTCTTCAATAAAATAATATTTTTCATCACATCAATAACTTTTCTTTCTTTTTCAATCACATATTCTTCATTATATCAACAGTAAAAATGCATTCTTTTTCCAAAAATGTGCATCAAATAGGGGCTTAATGTTTAACGATTTGATTTATGAATAAAGTTAGTTATACAAACATAGTTGACAATCATGTGTTGTTAAAATCTGAGTTTTGATGTAAAAAAATAATTTTTAAAATAAATGAATGTGATGATGTCAAGTATGATGTTGTCAACAAAAATTATACAAGTAACACGATTTCTAATTTATTTTGATATTTCTTAGTACATACTTAGTTGGTGATTAAATTTTAATTTAAGTGATTTTATTTGTGAATTTTATGAAATATGTGGATAATAAATGTGATATTATAGATAAAAGTATATACGAAATTATGCCTTTCACAACTAAGAAAAAATCTAAACCCTAAATGAAAATATTTATGTCAATAAGAATTGACTCTAATCTACATACAAAAAGTCTAAGCATAAGTTGGTGTTATAGCTAATAAATGTGTTCATCAGCATAAAATATTTATACTTCTTGAAGACTTTTTTTTTTTTTTTT